GAGAGAGAGAGAGAGAGAGAGAGAGAGAGAGAGAGAGAGAGAGAGAGAGAGAGAGAAGAGAGAGAGAGACCACTTCTGTGCTGTCCTCCCTTCCTTTTACCCTCTCTCTCTCTGCCACCACGGCGGGGAACCACTTGTTGTAATAATAATAATCGTAGTGACTAGTGAGAAGATTGGAGTTTGACGCACTGCACTGATGAGCTTAGGTTCTCAATGAAAGTTGAAGTAAGATTGGTGTTACTTGCAGGTACGAGTTTGCTCGTGCGTCAAAGCAGAGCCTGTTGCGTCAGGCAGAAGAATCGGTCGTAAAGATTGAGAGAGCAACACGGCTGATCAAGCGGCTCGAAGGTGAGCACAAGAGATGGGAGTCTCAGATGGAGAGTCTTCGTGCCATGCGAGACGGTTTGGTTGGCGACTCCCTTCTCGCTGCGGCGTACATTTCCTATCTTGGTGCATTTCCTGCAGCCTTCAGGTCGCATATGCTTGCAAGCTGGAAGCAGGCACTGCAGTTTGCCAATCTCCCCTTCTCTTCTGCCTTCACACTCGTGCCTTTCTTCTTGAAACCAGATGAAGTCCGCAAATGGGTGGCAGCCACACTTCCATCAGATAACCACTCACTTGAAAATGGGATCATGACATGGAACTGCCTCCGCCCATGCCTGGTCCTCGATCCGCAGATGCTGGCTACCAACTGGATTCATACCATCAGGGCACAGCAAGGGGTTCTTGTCGATGTCGAGGCGCACAACGTGCAGTTGAAAGATGTCTGCCTGTCGTCCATGGCGAAAGGTCAGTGGTTGTTTGTGCGACATGTTGGTGCCGTACTTCCTCCCGATTTACTGCCCATCATCCACACAGGAAGCATTGCAGCAGGGAATTCCTTGAGGGCGCAAGATGGCGAGGTTGGCACGGTCAATATGTCCATGAGCCTTCCTAATGGTGCTCGTGTGGCCAAGGCGTCAGGCTTCAAATGCATCATATCGTCACTGGACGTGGGCAGTCGCAATTTGGAGGAGGTAGACTCCTGTTTCACCTTCCTCTCCTCTGCCTCCGCTAAAGAAATCTATGGATTGCTGTGTTGTCACCGCATCCTGACCGTGAGTCCGAAGGGCTACCTTCTTCCCCCAAACATAACACACCCTGATTAGGAATGTACACAGGCTATGTTTTTGGTCCGTACGGTCATGAAGGGTTCATCCATACCGTACATTTCAGCCATATCCAGTCAGTGATCCAAGGGAGTTGTTCCTTCAGGCTGTGTAGAGTAAGACTTCCTTAGGCTAAGCAGATACCTACATCCTTCCAGTTTGCTACCGTCTTCACCCGGATAAAATGCCTGGTCGTTGTCGTTGCATTTGGACCGAAAGTTGCGCCAAATACAGACATAATGACTGGGCGTTCTTAGTTCTATTCGGGTGAAGATGGCAGGTAGCTAAGTGGCCAGTGCTATGCATCATGGGTGACCCCAGGCTTAGGCTATGAATTGACAAAAGCTATCATCTTGATATGGCAAAAGACATCCTACTGCAGCTGTGCCTGCACCTGGCTCCTACAGCTAATATGACTATGTCTTACGTGCGAGGGAAGACAGGACTAAAATATTTATTTCTGATGTGCTGTACAATCATGGAGCATGACCCAATTGGGCATACATACACCATGTGTGTGTGTGTGTGTGTGTGTGTGTGTGTGTGTGTGTG